CTAAATAAAGCTTCACTTGTTCGCCTATCCGTATAATTTGCACTCACATTTGGCAGCCATTTATTGTGTGAAGCTACTGTGTAAAGACGTGGGGCCTCATATTAGACAGATAAACGTGGTATTGAAAGTGGTAGGGAAAGACTATGATTTGGGTTGGCCTTACGGCCAGTTTGTGCGGCCAAGAGCAAGACAAATAGCGAAGTAATCGCTAACCATGTTGGTAATTGAAAAAAACTAAGTATCAAATGCTGATATTCGAGCGATGCTAAGATCTACCCTTTCGCTTTCAGAAAACAAGTTTTCAGGCAATTCTCGTGCTTTACAAAAGCTTGCATTACTCTAAGCGTATGACACTCGGATGAGTAAATACGTGCGGATCAAAAACTTATGCAATTGTGGAATATGTATTCTTTTAAGCTAGATCCTATTGATTAACAGTGATCGGAAATTGGTTAGTTGTGGCCCTAGAACAATCCTACCATATAGAGTTTGCAGAGTCACGCAAGCGGAAAACATTCATTTTTCAGCAGTGAGATTGAGGCTTCCAATACGGCTGCTTAACCAACCTATTCGGCAATGCCACAAAAGCATGATGCAAGGCAAGTTTTTTGCCAAAGCGTCCTCCTTGGCGCCATCTTCGATCAAGTTCCCTCTCATAAGCCCTTATAATGTTGTAGGTGTCACTGAAAATCCACTTAAGCAACGACTGATTCTTGCTTGTTTGGTATTAGCATTGGTAAGAAACACCTGAGTGACCATAATTCCGTCTACATGTGTGCTGACCAAGGGAAACCATGTCAGCATCTCAGGTTTATTACTTTTCATTAAAGTGCATGCATTTTCCTTTATAATCGTTCCTGTATTTGTGATTCACTAAGTTTGAGAATTGTGCTGCTGTGCCGTTTAGCTGCTAGCACCAAAAATAGCAATTCAATTTAAGGCATTTTAAATAAAATGCTAATAAAATGTTAATTAATGCATTCCTTTGTATAAAATGTTAGGACTGCTCCATTCCACAAAGAACAATCGCGACTTCTACAAGTTAAGCCGCACCCTCCGACGTAGGTTTATCTAACTCGACTCCTAATTATCCTCACGTTTCAGTTCTACGTTATTATTAGTGAAGCCTTCATGATTCCCTCCTTTGTTTGCAATGATTCATGCTGCCTTCTAATCATGACATTGCTCTGTATGTGCATTTGCCCAGGCAGTCTTGTTTTCAATTCTCTTCTTGCAGCTGCTTGGCTATTTTCTGCTTGAGTGAAAAAAAACCTTTGAATCGGACCTTTTGATGTCGTAATAATTTAAGCCATTAGAGAAGAGCCATGCTGACTGACGATCGAGCAAATGTGGGGTCAACATATAAGATGAACGTTCGGTAGTAAAATTGGGCTCTGAAGGCCTACATTAACCCATCACCAGAACTAGAAACGTTGATAATATCACATTTACAGGGATGGGTGCATACAAAGTACAGCAGAATATCCAAACGAATCTCATTCCCCTGCATGCATGCCATGGATTTATTGCTTGGTTTTTTCATCGCAATGGATCGTTTTACTGGAATTGGGAAGCGCATCGTAATACCTTGCTTGTATGATCATCTGTATATGCGTCGTTGACTATGACATCCGAATTGCCCTTGTGGGAGTGGGTAAAGCCAAACACTTTCTTATCGGCTCATAAACCACATAATCAGTTATATAATGCCTTGCTTGTGTGACTATCTGACGTTCGGCGGTCACTTTACGATTTGTCTGACCCTTGTACCCGTGGGCTGGCCTTCGGGCCATGATCAGGCCCAGTTGTTTTGTCCTTCTTGAAATACATGTGTTCAGTTTCACTTACTATCTCATTCCATTCAATGGGAAGTTTCGAAGCGCTACAAATTAGGCTTATTGCTTTCTTCTACTTTGTGGAAAGTCTCGAAATGCGACACGTACTAATGTGGTTCCTCAGGCACGCGTACTTCCGTCCGCATAAGTGGACGTCCGGTCTAAGAAGTTCATCCGGTATTTGCCACAGAGCATAGGATAACAGTAATGAGTAAGACAAGTCTCTAGCTCTACTCTAGCGAAGGAATACACCGCTTCCTCAGCACGAGGTTCGAATTGAGTGGCCGCCTCTCTTCTGTAAGGACAATTCAAATGCGTGAAATGAACTTCGGCCACCTCTTCATCAGACAGAAAGTGAGTATTTTTACATATCTTAAAAATTAGCACTGTAAGTTTAATAGGGCTTCGTGTTCATACTAGCAAAACTTTATTCACAAAATAAATAAGGCTGTACCACAGATGATAGGTGCTATTAGGAACTGCCAGTTGATACATTACGGTTAATGTAAGATATCTTTAAATGGACTAGATTGTGAGTCAGATGTAGGCGGTCTGGTCGAGGAGGTAGTCTGTTGGCCACGCGATGGATGCGGTTCGGTGGTTTGTTTAAGTTATCGATTTTAGAGAGGTTTTCCTACCAGATTTCATCGTAAGAAGGCTATACAACAGTTTCGGAAAGCCAAATTTGCTGAGAAACAGGCTGCGAAAGTAGCGTCTGTTAGTTTGGAACGACCAGGGTGGGTTATTTCTTTGGTTCTGATTTCCTTAGTTTTATTGAAAAGGATGTAGATGAGGTCGTTACACAGGAAATAATTCGTCAAAACGTTGATTTGGGTTCTGCCTCCAAGGTAGTTGCTCTTTACGATGAATGTTTTTATGTTCTAGCAATTCGAGCTTACCCTTGACTCAGGACCTTATGTTATTGATTACTCTCTAAACGGAAGGTAATCTTACTGTTTTCGCATATTAAGCCATTACTTATAGGTACCTTGCCATTTGTGGAAAGTGGGGTCACCTTGCAGCTTTTGACTGGATGACCAAACGGCTAATGTTTGAGATCAACGTGAATGAGGAATGTCGTGATGTGAAGTAAGCACGATGCGGGAATCTATAATCACATCACCCTAAAGATTTCTTCATCAGGAGACCTTCATCTCGGTTGCTCAAAAAGGATACACCTACGTTTACGATAACCAGGGCATCGAGTTACATTGTCTCAAGCGTTTAGCTGGCGTTCGGCGACTTGAGTTTCTGCCGTACCACTTCATCCTGGTGGCAATGGCTGAGAATGGGTTTATGTACTATTTAGACACTTCAGTTGGCGAAATCGTTGCCTCCTACCCTACTTTTATGGGGTCGCTCAACGTCGCTTGCCAAAATCCGAGTAATGCCTCCATCTTAACGGGTCATCCTAGCGGCGCCGTTTCAATGTGGATTCCAACTGAGAAGACGCCTGTTGTGAAAATGCTCTGTCACAATTCAGGAATCAAATCTATTGCCGTTAATCGTACAGGCCAGTAAGTGTGATTCAATTAGGCCTTGGCCAGTCGTTTTCTGTCCTTGGTATGAACTATTTTTGTATTAATTGTGCAGATATCTTGCAACCTGTGGCCTGGATAGGTATTTAAAGATGTGGGACATTAGGTCTACCCACAAATGTTTATCTGAAATCACTCTTGCAACACCTGCGATCACCATGGGTTTCAGTCAAATGGGTCTTCTCGCTTTGGGATCATCAACCACTGTTCAGGTTAGTTCTGCTGTTACGTAATCTTCATGCACAGTATAAAGCATTTTGTGGCTTTTTGAAGGTCAAAATGTAGAAACTCGGCTGAGGTAAGTCTTTCTTGCTTTAAATTTTCAGGTCATAGCGCCCAAAAATTGTACTGAACAGTATTGTAGTGAGCAAATGCGTTGAAGTCTTAAGTCGACTAATCTGTACTCACAATTCTGGCTTCGTCTCCTTCCTTCATGGCAGTTGTTTTATCAAGGTTATTAATGTCTTGGGACAGGTTGAATAAGCGGTTGCTCAGGCACGTAGCGGCTCTCTTCCAGCATCGTGAAAATAAGTATAATGATCTTTTAAACGGTACACCGCTTGGTTTCAATGGGCCACTTTGGATTGGGAGGTGAAGGGTTTTATTGTTTTTTACGCTCTGTCTCTAGCAGCTTTGAAAGCCTATTGGTTCTCGTGTTGTGCTCGAAGTTTATTCAGCATTTCACTGCCACTATTTGGCGAATTAACCTGATGCGCCATAGCACCTTTGCAACTGAGGGATGTGTGACATTTTCGTGTCAACATACTGTTATTGCTTTGTAAGGTTTTATGATTTCCGCGTTTAGACTTTTGATTTTGCAAAGTGGAGGTCTTTTAGCAATACCACTTCAGGCTTGGCTCCCTCACGAATAGCTGAGCTAAAGTCGTCAATGGATGAAGCTCTATTCGCTAGTCCACTGTTTTAGCATTACAGCTGTTTTATCGCTTTTGCTTCTGAGTTTTGATTTCCATGGTGTGTTTGTTTATGACCACTAGACACGGTTGTCTGAAACTGAAGGAGACGGTGTCGCAGAATATTGGTAGTGCTCGGGAGCATGGCAAATCTGCCGTCTTGCGCGTTTGTTTTAGTACGTTGACCATTATATGGCTTTCAGAATCTCTCTTGTTACTGCCGTAGGTTTTAAAGGATCCAGCTACAAACGCTGTGGCAGAGCAGCTCGTGAACGTGGAAGCGGGTCGAGTCCACCGGCGTGTGCTGCGCGGTGCATATCTAGCACATAACTGCAAGCGACCGGTAAATGACGTGGCTTTCTGTCCCTTTGAGGACGTTCTCGGTGTGGGCACCTCCGGGGGGTTTCAATCCCTTCTTTGTCCAGGTGCTGGAGAGCCGAACTTTGATGCACTCGAGGAGAATCCCTTTGCTAATAGGCGCTATCGTCAGGAACGAGAAGTTCGTCGTCTACTTGATAAAGTAAGATACATTTCCCATCAGTATATTTACTCAATTTTTAAATATGAGCTTCGTCTCAGCATTGCTTTTTGTTCACATTTCTCATGTAGATACCGTACACGATGATATCGGTGGACTCGATGTTGAACAAGGTTCGACGCCAAGATATCGAAGAGGAGTGGGAGAAGAAATGCAAGGCTCTGGTAATACTTCGCCCATGATCATATTTTTGCTTGGAAAACCTTGTCCATGTTAGTTTTTTTCTGACAGCTGGGCGAAATACCGAAAGTGCCAATGCCGAAGGTGAATCGGAGTAAGCGGAAAGGTCGCTCGAAGGCCCAGAATATTGAAAAGAGGAAGCAGGTATTGCGCTTCAATCGGAAGCAGTTTGAAATCTCGACTCTGATGCGTGAGAAGGTGGTGCGGCGCGACAAGGAGAAGGTGTCGGAGGCCGACATAGGGAATCTACCTAGCGACTTCTTGGTGGTCAAGCGGAGAGCCAAAAAGCGTACAAACTCGGCTCTGGACGTTCTCATTCCCAGAAAACTAGATTAATTTTGCACAGCTCTCCCGTCACTTATAGTGTAATTTATCAGTGTATATATTAGTCATTGTTGAAGCTGAAAGGTACCTTCCTTATGAAGTTATTTTCGGCATGTTCGTTTTCGAATGGCGTCTCGTAAATAAAAATTTTTTTTGGTAGTAGTGACAGAGTTTGCTCTTAGTAATATTTTACGTGCTCTTGAGGCTAATAAAGTCTGTTGTAATGTGATACTTTTGAGGTGGATTCTGTGTTGCGACTCAACGGGAGTGTTTTTATTCTATTAGGTCACAGAATGCTAAGCGCCTCCAATACTTGTGCGTTAGCTGGTTCTGATAGTGACATTTTCTCCCAATGCCATGTTTGCAGAATAGGAACTACATTACAGGAACTACGTTACATTCGCTTTGTCCTCATTTCATAAGGTATCTGGGGTTCATTTATTACTGGAGGCTTAGGTTGTCGGATTCTGCTCTAACTCAACGTGATGGAAGAATAATTGCTCGGTGAAATACTGGAACAATGTGTTCAAATTTTGCAAGACATGTGTTTTCATGCATGTTCAGGTATGCCAACACATTTATACAAAACTAGGTAAAGTGGAGTTTTGGGCGGTAACTATAATCTTCTTTGGAACTTCCTCTGCCAACCGGGATTGGAGAAGTCAGAAAATCAAGTGATGTCTGGATGGATGATCGGTTTGATCCTGCAGTCAGTAATATAAGGATCGCCTAAAAAGAACCTTGAATAAAGTCCTTTGCCCGCTGTCTTAGTTTGTCTTGTCCTGTTAGAAATCTACGAGGGTTAGAGGGGCGGCACAAAAAAGCCTGACCAACGTTGCCTTTGGGAGTCACAGATGAAAGTACCCTTTAAATGACACAATTTCACGGATTTATACCTTCGGGACTTCGGCGATCTAAAAACTTCCAATGGCAAATCTCAACAACCCGAGCCGCTACACATCGACCACACTGTGTATGAGCTCTCTGTAGGAGATGGTCGAAAATCTTGAGGTAATTTACTCCAACATTTACGTTTCTGCATTCACATTTCTTGTTTTGTAATTTTTTTTAAAAAAAGAAACCAGCTGCTGTTTCTCCTTCAAGAAATCAGTATTCAAGATAAGAATGTGAAAAGTAAGCTCCCAGCAGACCGTACAATGTTCGGATACAGCCCTATCGTCTAGTTAATTAGGAAGTTGTATCTTGCTTCATGAGCATAACAGGAAAATGTAGGCATAAATGTAACGTGGCCTCTGGAATTTCCTGTCCCTTAACTTCTTATCTGTTCTGGGGAAGCGTTTTCACATTTCAGTTGGAGTGCAAACAATGCCAGCTGCAAAATGGCACTGTTTTTGTATCGTTTAACTTCGTGGTCTACCTTTCATATAAGATAAACGAGTTGAGGATGGAATAATGAGCCAGTATTTTCCAGTTCAAGAACTTTCCTTGAAAGTATGCGCAGGATCGGGAGGAACTACTCATTAGCGATATCTAAACAAAGCAGAAATATGAACAACCGCAAATAAGCGCCCTTGGCAACCTGGATGTTGACTTTGTCCTCCTCTGTTGATTAGTTATAAGGCGTTCTAAGATGAGAACGATGTGCGACTATAGAGATTCAATTGTGTGCTTCTTCTGTTACTTTTTTTTGTAGTTGCACCATTCAATTTCAATTTTCCTGAGTGTTTCAATGTCAGCAAAGGTAATATGAGGATGGACTAATGGGTTATCTCGAAACGTATTGCTATAGCTCCTCATTTAAACCACAAGGTAATGGTAGTAAACAAACTATAATTTCGCCTCAGTAGCAAATTTATGCAATGGAGACACAGAACTGGACAAAGTATGAAGCCAGCCAACAAAAGAATGCCCCACTTCTTCCCATATCTAAAGGCAGATGGTTTTAGTGCCATGCCTCTACTCCCACAGTGAGAATTGAGACCGCACTCTCAATCCACCTCAAGGCTTTTAGTTTGCATTCTTTCAAATTATCATCCTCTGCCATGATTTTGGCTTTGAAATAAACGAGTGCTTAAGCTAGTTTAACTGATTAACGCCAAAAATCCAGATCAAACCACTGCAACCAAGCGTCCTAGCCTTTTGAACGCTACCAGTACCGGTGCTGCAAGATATGATCATGAGCAGAAAACGCAGTTCTTGTCATATCAAATTTTTCCACTGTTACATACACCTGTCCACAAAAGAAACTACTTCCGTAAATTTGACTGACAAAGCATCAGAGAGGATGTTTATTGCAGATCCAATTAAATTTAGTTGGATCCAGTCGAGTGGCAGCTTTCGCATCAGTCCATTTGCACTGACAGCAGTATGCACGTGAACCTACAAGGAGTAATTGATTAATAAATAGAACTGAAAGAAAGCCACTATTCGCATCGTACTCTTGTTGAGACTAAGGCCACTGCGCAACTTGGCGAAAGAAGGGAAGTTGTTTCGCAAAAATAAGTAGTCCATGGGCTTGCTTTTCCAAGCATAACCATTAAAGGTTACTACTGCATGATCACAGTCAAGGCAGCGAAGCCTGTCACAGGACCTCAATTCATTCCTAGAGGTGCAACCACGGGGAAGATCGGTACCACCGATATAAATGGGTGCACAACTATATTCTGTTAATTTTATACGTCATTTTACCGTAAAACGTCTTGTTTGTTATTTTCTCCTACAACACCTGCTGTATGGACATCACCAGTGCCTGCCTAAAAAAGTTACAAAGATAGATCAAAGACCTCCTCAATTTCCATCAGTTCCTTTTCAAGCGAAGCCAGCATTGCATCAATATCACCGGTTGGCCTCGCATAACTCAATGAAATGTCTCTTACTTGGCATTTGATTCACTCATTACTGACAGGCTATCAGATCTCGCGTTGGCTGATATGGAACCAAGAAGACTCAAACTCAAATTTACCTGAAAAGCTCACGAGTGTGCATTTCAAGAATCACTGCCTTTGATCAAAGAATTATCGAAACTCACTTTTAATCTAGATTTGCTTAAGAACAAGTCTTATATATGAATCAGGTTTATGGAAATACTTTACTAAAAATAGTATTGGTTACCATTCCCCAATCAGAATGTAGTATAAGCTGCGACCTTAGCCACAAGTATTTTGATTTTATATGTAGCGGTACTAAATCAGTAACTTAAACCACAAATGCCATATTCGCACAAATAGAACAAGCGTTCTCACAAACAATGTATCTTCACTGGGTGTAAAAAGACTTCAGCATAACGCATGATCGAGCGACTTCTACCATCAATCATTAAACAAGACTGTGGGAATCAGTTCAAAAATTGATTAGATATTTCACGACGATTCTCCGCACAAATACGGCAAAGTGTTTTCGATTAGTATGGCAACAAAAATGCATCCGATTTTCTTCGTGAATTGGGTCATCTGCGGCGACCACGAGCTAGGGGTCGGCAATGCCAAGCCCAATGTCCAACCTTCCTCTCCGATTTCATTCAGTTAACCTACGCGCAAGTCTCCTATCGTTCAAGGCGCAATCTTGACATCTTACACTAGTGACAGCAGAATACA